GCAAATAATTGCAGAAATGCTTCACACAATCGCACCCCGCTTACCCACTTATCTCTCCAAAAAAGAGTGTGTAAACCTGCACCCACACTCCTATCAAACTTCTCATCCAGCCACACATTCCTTTGATGAATAACCTCTAGCAAATCACGCCACCACAAAGAACATCTGTTGTGAACTGATGAACGCTGAATAGAAGAAGCTAATCTACCATACCTAAATTCTAACACCTGCACCCACAATGAATTAGAACAATCAACACCTCGTCACATCCATTTACCAAGAAGCGCCCAGTTAAACCACTGCACATTCCTAATGCCCAAGCCATCATTCTTTCGCTGTTTACATATCGTTTCCTATTTCACCCAGAGAATTTTAGACTCATCCTTAATATCCTTCTATAAAAAATTTTGTTGGATAGTCACAATCTCCTTTATCACCGACTTTGGCACCTTAAAAAAGGATAACAAATACAATCTCCTTTATCACCAAAAAAATAATGTACTTAGTTCTAAAAAGGCCAAATTTGTTCTCCACCTGTTACCGAATCAATGGAGTCACCAATGCAAAAGGTAACAACTAAACGTTCCCCCACCTTTACAACACATCCCTTATGAAAATAAGCCACAAAAACATAATCTAACCTCAATTCAATTATACCACAAAAACATAATCCCACTTGCTAAATCAAAAAACAAAGCAACACCAACTGTAAAAAGGGTGACAAAAACCTACTACCCTGGTTTTTACCCTCAATGAAAGGACAATCTGAATAATGCTTGAAGCTATTAATGTTGGACTGGTAACGAGAGATCTGAATAATTTATATGAAATAATAAATTTAAACTTTTTTGTCATCATTGTAATAAAAGGAAAAACAATGGATAAGCTAGCATGTTAGATTGGTTCATGATCTTAAATGTGTCAGGCTACCTTAATTACAAGCAACTCAAAAACAAGAGAGGTAACTTTGGTTGAACATTTAGATAAATGCGATCAAAATAAAGGGAAACCGTTGTTTTCACTTTTGGTGGGTACTTTCGAACAGGAAAGAATCTGTGATGGGTAATTATGTTGAATTTTGCTACCATACATGTCCGGCAAAATTGGCATATATATAATAAAGGTTGCATTTGCTTCAAGTAACTAATTATGGATAACACTGAGGATTTTGTAGAAATGAAGACTTACTGTTAAAAGCTTATTTGATTAAGCTTTTGAAACACTGTCTTTGGCTTTTTTTTCGACAATTTTGCAAAAAGTAATCGTTCCTTGTAACCAACGCTCATTCGTGGTAGAAATTAAGTTGAAGCAAGCAGGGTACAATGGCACACAAGAGGAGTGTTCTTTGGTATTTTTCTGATAATTTTTTGCATGATTGTGAGATTACAGTACAAAAATTATATATATATATAAAACCCGTTGATACTAACATTAAATTTAAACATTTTCATCTTTTAATAACTTTTTATAGAATATAAAATTCACTAATTTAATTATTAAATCATCTTATATTATTTTCATAATCATATATATATCAAATTTTATATTTGAACATTTATAACATGCAATATCAACAAATTTTAGATCCTGCAATTATATATGAATTTTGTGCTTTTAATTATAATTATTCATCATAAAATCGTATAATTTTAATATTATCATGTAAAAATTTGTTATCGTATAATTATAAATTTAATGGTTAAAATTTGCTATGACTATAGTTTGCATAGGTCCAAGAGTAGCAGTTATTGACAATGTGAAGTCATGATTCAATTTTGCATTGAATATGTTGTACAGTGATAAGTAGATTTGTGTGATGCTCTTTCTAATCCGTGAACAAGTTGGCCATTGATCTGAAAACTCACAATCGATGGCTTTGAGAAGCAAGTTGTTCCTTTGATTTCATTTATATCAAACCTTTGTTTTTGGAAAGCAATGGAGTCCTGTAGAGTTCTCATGTTTGATCATGTGGCTCGTTGATAATTACTCTTGTTTCTAATGAAACAATTAAAACATACAATTAAATTTCTTATCATTAAATACTAATACAGTAATAAAAAAATAACTAGTATTTTTTAAATATTCATGTACATTTTTGTTATTTTATTATCAAACTTGATTTTTATTCAAAAAAACATTGAAAAAAGATTGGTGAAAGTTAATATATCTAATATACTTAATAAAGAACAATACTTATTTTCATGTAATTTGTATTTATTTTAATGTTGGGCAAATATCCTTTTCAACTTGTTAATAGGCTTTTAAATCATTTAAATATAATTTAAAGTTATTATATGAATAAATAAAAAGGATAGATTGAAAAAATAATGATAATCAATTGAAAAAAGTAATTAAAAAGTTAGTTGTTTACAATGTAATTAATATTTTTTTGTTAGGGTATTTCTTTTGGTTTAAACTATACATGTCCTTTATAGAAGACAATTCAGTTTGAGCCTCATAAAATTATTTTTCTAAAATTCAAATTTAAAATTATGGATTAAATTGAAAAAGTTATGCATTAATGATAATTTTGTTTGAACAAAAATACTAACTTTTCTTGTGTTATTGCCATCTATTACTAATTATATTTTCAACAAATTTAATTAATTTTATAAGAGTATAATTTGTTTGAATATCTAATCATGCAGCAGAAAACTAGTGAAGGACCCAGAATGAGGTATCTTTTGCATACTTCTTAACTACTCTTAATTTAACTCTTTTCCCAAAAAAAACTATAGTGACATTTTTTGCTTAATTTGTTTTTAGTCAATAACAATAAATTTTTATATTTATTTGACCAAAAAATAATTAAATAAAAATTCTTTGCATATTTTTGGCCAATTTAATTTTTATTGAAAAAAATATAGGAAAATAGTAAATTAAATATAGCAATTAAATTAAATAATAATAGTAAGGTTTTGTTTTTTTAGAAAGAGTAATTTTATTTATAAGATAGAAGTTGAATCACATGTTATACATCATAAATATAACTTGATGTTTATCAATAAAAGTAAATATACATCATATTCTAAAAAAATTAAATTTCTGTCATATTTTAAAAGTTAATAATTTAATTATAAAAAGTATCTAATACTTATGTTGATTTATTAATATATTTATTTAATGTTGATTTAATAAATTTAAATACATTTAAAAATAAATATTATATCAATTAAAGAAAAAATATTGTTTTGTTATAACATAAGATTTTAAAAAACTTACGTGATAAAATAAAAATATGTGATTATATAAAAACAATAATACAATATAAAAAATACCCTCTTGTTAAAAATTAAATTTATAATATGAAGTAAACAGTGAGAAAGTGTTTTCGTTTTAAAAAAAAAGGCATACATATTTAGCATTTAGCCGTAATTCAAATAGGATTTGTCTTAAAAAATAAAATAAAAGATTAACATTAATTCTAATAATAATTTTAAGTATATAAAAAATATAAGTTATTATATAAAAATTATTTCTTCATTAAAAATATAAGGATATAATAAGTATTTTTTAAAGAAATTTTATTATTTTAAAATACTTCAAATCAATCCTAACAAGTAATATTAACAAAAAATAATGTACCAAAACTCATGGAAAAAAATAGCAAAAATATTAAGGTACGTATGTAGCATTTTCCTGGCTTTTACTTAATTAAACTCAGTTCAAGAATTATGTATTATTATTATTATTATTATTATTATTATTATTATTATTATTATTATTATTATTATTATTATTATTTATAAATCTGTTTCCAATTTCACCTTCAAAGAAAAACTGACTCGTAGTCCACATGAATTACAAATAAAAAAAAGTATCCTTAAAATATTATATTTTTTTGGTATTTTTTTTATAAAATATTCATTTAATTTGACATTTTAAAAAGTAATAACTTGTTTACGTCAAACAGCAATGATAAACAAAATAAGCTTTACGTATTATTATACATTTTTATATTTGTTAATATAAAATATATGTTGTAATAAAAATATATGATTCAAATTAATTCATAAAAAAAACCAAAAAAAACCATAAACATATTTTAATAACTAAAATTAATTTTATTAAAATTATGCTTAACTTTAAGCTAAATTTGGTATATAGTTATTATTTTGCTGATACATGAAAATAAATTCCTCCTAAGAAATATTAATTAAAAGATTTCTAAAATACAATTTTTTAACTTGTATAATAATTATATATGATAAAAAATAATAAATTTTATCAAAAAATTAAAATATTTACTAACATTAATGCATTAAATTATATAAATTTCAATAAAAAATTACTATATATAAAATTTTATGTATTAAAACATGGTATGAAATACATGTTATGAAATAAAAGGAATATATATATAAGAAAACATTAATTTTACTTTTAAAAACAGGAATATGAAACCTGTGCTTTGCCATAAAAAATGTCTGAAAATAGTAAAATACTCAAAACATTCATAACTTGTAAGAAAATTACAAACAGTCATTGGACAGTTGAGTGAAAAATGTTTACATAAATGATCAATCTGTAATATTTTCTGAACATGATTATTATGGTTATAAATTATAGCTATAAGATAAATAATTCAAATTTATAAAATCAAAATAAATTAGATTGGGTGTGGATTTATTTTTGTTGTTGAAAGAGTTAATTAATTAACGTTGGTGATGGAAATTAAATCGCATTAGTTCTATGATCTTGTCTTCATTTGAGTGGATACAAAATTATTACTCTACTATTTAAAATGTGATGAGCATATTGCACCAAAAAAAATATGATGAGCAAAATAAATTGTATAAAATAAAAGTGGGGCAAAACTTTTATTTATTTATTTATGTTTATAATGAAGGGTTAATGGAAAACACAAATTTAGTGTTAAGATTAGATTTGGAAGACACTACTCTCTCTCTCTCTATTTGTTCTTTCTCTCTCCTCTGTAATAATTTATAAATTGTCCCATCAAAGGCTCCCCTCATCTCCCTTTCTTTTTCTGTTTGTGTTGTGCGTCTTCTATTCTTTCACCAAATTTTCTCATCACTTTTCTCTCTTCGTTTCTAAATTTTCCTCCATTCCAACGAAATCTAGGGTTTTCATTTCGCCTTCATACCAATTCCCAGGTACGTGCACTGCCTCTTCTGTTTCTCGCCCTGCTTTGATTTCCACGTCATCCTCGTATTTTCGGTGATCCCGATTTTGATTTGGATAATTGGGTTGATTTTGACAATTCTCTTTTTGGTTTTTGGTTTTTGGTTTTTTGTTTTTTTGCACCTGAATTCTTCTTGGTTGTGTTATGGTGATTTTGACACGTATCGTTTATCAGGTGGCATGTGTGGTGGGGCTTTGAATTTCGATTTAATTAGGGAAACCCTTTTTATGTTTTCCCCCTATTTCCCCATGGGTTTGACTCTCAGATTGGGCTTCCCTTTTTTCTTTTTCTTTTTTGTTTTTCTTTTCGGTTTCCGAGAGATTGAAATGGTGGCTTAGCAACTGGGTTGTATTTATGTTAGTTATAGGAATGGGGTTTGTTTGAACTGTATTTATGCTTGGTCTTGGTGGGTTGATACAGACAGGGGCATAGAGGTTGGGTTGGGTGAGTTCATTAGTGTAGTGGTAAGGAGGGTAGAGAGAGAAAGGTTCTGTGAGGATGACAGATTTTCAGCCGCTACAGCAGAAGCCTGAACCTGCTGATGCCCACGCCGAGTTTGAGCGTGGACTGGAGGAGTTTATGCGCGGGCACTTGGATGATTGTATGTCGTTTGCTTCGTGTAGCTCCTCCCGTGCACCAGATGATGAGGACGATGAGGGTGATCAGCTAGTTCGGAGGAGGCGGAGGTCTGATCTTGAAGGGGATGATTTAGCTGAGTCTTCGGCTGCACGCAGGCGTCATTCGCGGATTTTGAGCAGATGGGCTGCACGGCAGGCACAGGAGATGATAACTACTATTGAGAGGAGGAATCGAGAGTCTGAGTTGATGGCGCTCGCAGGATTGCATACCGTCTCAATGCTGGACTCTTCTTTCCTGAGGGGGTCACAGTCTCCAACTTCTGGCCAGGAGGGGGCTGTGGAGAGGCCCAGCACTCAGGCATCTGCCATTCTGCAGATGTGGCGTGAATTGGAAGATGAACATTTATTGAACCGGGCACGTGAAAGGATGAGGGAAAGGTTGCGCCGTCAAAGGAATTCTGACTCTAATACCAATGTGTCCAGTACCATGTCTGATAGTCGAGGCAGTGAGAATCAAGGGAGTTTGGGGGATGCAAGTGAAAGTGAAAATGATTATGGTACTTGGTCACATGATCACATTGGATCAAGGAATGCACATGTGGATCATAATGGGTCTAGCAGGGAACAATCTCCTGATCTTGGCGAAGTTGAGAGGGAGAGAGTTAGGCAGATTGTTAGGGGATGGATGGAAAGTGGTATTAGTGATCATTCGTCTAATGTGAGTCAGAGAAACAATAACCGTAGGGCAGAATGGCTTGGAGAAACAGAGCGTGAGAGGGTAAGAATTGTCAGGGAATGGGTACAAATGACTAGCCAGCAGAGAGGATCTCGTGGGAGCCGGAGGGATACTCAAGTAAGTGAAGGTGCTCAAGTTGATCGAGTCCGTGATGTGGTGACTGATAATGATGAGGGTCAGCCTGAGCATGTTCGGCGGGACATGTTGAGGTTGCGGGGAAGACAGGCTCTAGTTGATTTGCTTGTGAGGATAGAAAGAGAAAGACAAAGAGAGCTGCAGGGTTTGTTGGAGCACCGAGCTGTTTCTGATTTTGCTCATCGCAACCGTATTCAGGTTTGTTGGGTACTCTATTAGATTTTTCTTGCAATTTGTGCTTGTCTTAGTCATGGTGTCTCCACTAAATCTTACAAGAAGTCAAATTCAATTAGAGGCACCGGTTACTGTACTATGGTTGGGATTTGAACTTTATCAAACCTGTTAAAGTGTGCATTATTTTTTAACTTAATGTTTAATAATCTGCATACTCTGTTCTCTGATATGTTTGGTTTTGATTGGGATTAAAACTTTATAGACCCGTTATTATGTTGTCTTAATATTGAATAACCTGCATACTCTGTTCTCTGTTATGTCAGGTTTTGATTGTGGCTTTTCCCTCCTTGGATGTATACTCATAGATTGTTATTGGTTCCTGTATTTAAGGTTGCTGCTACATGTTCTGGAAAGTGGAAACTATCACACATGCTGTTGTTTCTTTTCTCTAATTTGTTTTGTGGAATTGACCTTTTAGAAAATGAAAGAAACCATGTAATATTGGCTTGAAATTACTGTGGTTAACTTCCTTAGAAAAGCTAGTGTGAAATATTGTTTGGAACGTTATGAATCACCTGCTCATTTTTTATTGTAATATAAAATTCAAAAGTGTTTCTGGGTGGTTTTTTTGTAGCCTAATGCATGACATGTTTTGAATATTATTCAAGAGGTATTTTTGGTGGTCTGGATTACCAAACCTTTTTCAAGAAGGAAATAATGGAAAGAAGGAAAAACAAAGTTTTATATTTAATTCCTTTTTGTTCTATTAATTGTTGTAGTGGATAATGGGCCAAGTTGTATTTCTATAACATGCTTATTATAAGAGATCTCCTTTCATTGTTCTATATCTTGTTTCAATTTGATTCATCCAGTTGATTGCTTGTTTTCTTTCAATTATTTTCTCTCTGAAAACATAATGAATGATTTGAAGATGTTTATCTGCATAGCACTTGTTTGTTTTCACTTTTTCCACAGGTATACTTGCTCCTCTTGAAAATTGATTATTTAATATTTATACTAAATTACCTTTTTCAGTCACTGCTCAGAGGTAGATTCCTCCGAAATGAAAGAACTGTTGAAAATGAGAGGCCTCCGTCTATGGCTGCAAGTGAATTAGTTCAGTTAAGACAACGACACACAGTCTCTGGTTTAAGGTAGAGTTTTTTTTTTTTTTTTTTTTTTTTTTGCAGTCTCTAATTATTTTCAGTCTAATTAGGGTTTTAATTTTTGTTTCTTCTGGTTTTTTAGAATCTAAATTTATAATATTGAAGAACTTGGTTTTTTCCCTCATAGGCATCCCCAAGATACAAAAGAAATTGCTGTACTGTCCTATGATTTAAATAAAATCGAATGTTATCTTTAGTCTTTTTAATCCGTGTTGTGGGCACTTCTTCTGTCTAATACTCAAGTAGTGGAACTCCTGGCATAGAAAATAAAATAAAAAGTGGTTGGGATGCTGTATCATCTGTGTCAATGAGCAGTAACCGTATGCACACATTGGTGGATTTTTATTTTACCCTTATATCATACATAATAAGTAACTTATGCACAATGGTGGATTTTGATTTTACTCCATTTTTTCATTGGAGATTAATCTAGGTACTCAAGTTATCTTACTGGTTTTCTTATGGTCAGATACTTATATTAGGTTTCTTTGGAGTTTTATTACAAATAAAATATTTGCAATTAATTTATTATTTGCTAATATCCCAGTTTCATTTATTTATGTCCATTTGCACTTTGGTTTTCTCTCGTAAATTTCTTACTCTATTTGATGAACTCTATTACATGGTTATGGTGTGTTAGCTTGGCTTCTGTCCTTTTTCTTAAAATTCTTTTACATTTTATATGGTTTTGTTAACCTCAGCCCTTAGGGCTGAATTCAAGCATTCAAAAGTAGTAAAATTTTATTAACAAATAATATGCTTATTGCACCTTTGTATTTTCAATGTCATAATTTTTTCTTTCAATAAAAATGTATTTTTTTTGGATGCTTAAACTTAGCTCTAAGGGTTTCGATTAACAAAACCGAAGTTTCTATATAACATACATTTATGATAAATTATGCATCTCTTCAAATAATGTGTGTTGGTTTGATTTACAACTTGTTCTTGCCATCACTGCTAGTTGTCAAGAATTGACACTTAAATGGCATAATTCAGGGAGGGGTTTCGTTCAAGATTAGAAAATATTGTTCGTGGTCAAGCAGGCTCCAATCCTGATACCACATCAAATAGTAATGTTAGTGAAACAAGAAGTGATGAAAACCAAGCAAACAGTTTGGCAGATGCCCAACAAGAAAATTATGAACAAGAGCAGAGAAGGGGTGTGGAAACTGATGTGCGACAGTTGCCTAATCAAACAGGAACTCTGGAGAGTAGCACAAGTGAGAGTATTAGTTGGCAAGAAGCTAGTAATCAAGGAGTGAATTGGCAGGAACAAATTGCTGAAGAAGGGGGAGGAAACTGGCAACAGAGTCCGTTCAACCAGATTAGAGATGGGAGGGCAGTCAATGATTGGCCACAGGAACCTCCCAGAAATTTAGCTGGGGAAGATCATCCGCGGGAAACTCAAAGAGCTTGGCACGATGATAACACGAGGGAAGCTGTTAGTAATTGGTCCGAAGGACCTTCTGGAGCTTCAAGGAATCGCCGTGGTGTTCCCTTTAGAAGATTCAATAGATTTCATCCACCTGATGATGATAATGTATACAGTATGGAGCTTAGAGAACTTCTGAGCAGGTATTCTTCCCTTTTGGATCTTTTGCCTTACAGATTGCTTTCAGCCTGTTTTATCCCAATGCCAACAGGGGTCTGGGAGAAGGAAATAAAATGAATTTCTCCCATAAGTATCTTGTTTTTAGTACAAATACCTGTTTAACCCTTTCCAAAATCTAAAATGAAAGGTCCATTTGTATGTTGAGATTGTACACAACGTGGTTGATAATATTCCATTTATTGGCTTTCATTTCTTCTAGCCACTTAGCCTTATGATTGTTATGGATTTTTATTCATGTTTCAGGCGAAGTGTTTCTAACCTTCTTCGTAGTGGTTTCCGAGAGAGTCTGGACCAACTAATACAATCATATGTGGAAAGGCAAGGTCGTGCACCCATTGACTGGGATTTGCATCGGAACTTGCCAACACCAACTCCTGCCTCACCTGAACGGGACCCTGACCAGCAGGGTGATGAACGTGGTGAGGGTCAACATGAAGCCATTAACAGACCTTCAATGGTATTGCCTTCTCCACCAGTACCTCCACCACAACCGTTGTGGCACCAGGATTTGCATCAAACTGGATGGTCTCGCCATAGCATGCATCGTTCTGAAATTGTGAGCATCTTTCTAATCTATGTGCCTTAGGGACATTTATTTTGGTTGTCTTCTACTTTTCATTATATAACATTTTCATCCTTAAAAAATAAAAACTGTGAAATGGCATATAGAATATAGTAGTATGTGGCTTCTTTCTTTCATTCTTTTATGTGCAATCAATTTAGGCTTCTTTGCAAGATCATTGGTAGCTACTACTAAGCTAGTAGGATACCAATCTAAGCTAGAAAGTTATTAAATTTGATTAGGTTTGGGATGTTAATCATGTCTCATCCATTTTGTTCCAAATGATTGCAGATTATTTAATATGATATCCAAGTAACTCTGAAGTTGAATCTAACAAAGTTTTTGTATAATGAAAAATTCTAAGTAGCTTTAAAGCTTTGGCTACTTATCATTTGAGTTCTGTGTTGTCATTCAGGTGTTAACTATTGATATGCCTTTCTGACAATAGGTCAACTTATTTTTGGAGTTCTTTCTTTGCCTATATAGTTTTCTTTCATACTATATTTTATTAAAATTCTTTTTAAAGTACTGGTTTTGGATGCTGATTGGGAGCAGGAGTGGGAGATAATGAATGATTTAAGATCAGACATGGCAAGACTTCAGCAAGGCATGAATCACATGCAGAGGATGCTGGAGGCTTGCATGGATATGCAACTGGAGTTGCAGCGCTCTGTCAGACAGGAAGTCTCTGCAGCTCTGAACCGCTCAGCCGGTGAAAATGGTGCATGCTTTATTTCCTGTTTGCCCAATGCAGTTATATGTCATGTTTTCTTTTTTTTTCCTTTTACTTTGGATGAAGGATTTTATTCTTTTAACCATAGTGCAGCTGTATTGGTTGCATATATTTAAGTGTTTATTATCAGTGTTTGTCTTTCTCTATCTTCAGTTATTTACATTATATATTTATTCATATTGTAGGATTGGGTGCTGAGACATCTGATGATGGGTCCAAATGGGGGCACGTGAAAAAAGGAACTTGCTGTGTATGTTGTGATAACCATATCGATTCTCTTTTGTACAGGTATTTATGCACTATACATGCATAATTTGTGCTGATGAACAAAATATAGCCCTAGATTTCATTTGGGGATCTGTAATTTATATTGATTACATTTTCTGATCAATGGTTTTGTCTCTTTCGTTCAACAAATTGCAATTTCCTGCAGATGCGGGCACATGTGCACTTGTTCAAAATGTGCCAATGAGTTAGTTCGAGGTGGAGGTAAGTGTCCTTTATGCCGAGCACCAATTGTTGAGGTGGTCCGAGCATATTCCATACTGTAAAAAGGAAGTTAAAAGGGCATGGAAAGAAGGAAAGATCTGAGGCAGTTGATCTCAGTTCTGGAAGTCTTGAGGTTCATATTTATAAGTGTTCTAGATGCCTTTGTTTTTCTGATTATATGGAACTCCATGAATTGTATAATTGGATTAGCAAATGGCGCTGTTGATTCATCATTCTTGCGTAAATAAATAGTTGGCCCGATTATTCTTTCCAAATCCTACTCTTTTTCTAAAATTTCCAAGCTTGTATATGTGAATAAAAACAGACGATTCCACCCAAAAAAAATATGGTGCTGGTCAATCTATATCTACAATATTTTCCCCAAAAACAAGCGCGATTACAAACTGGTTATTTCTTCTCTTATATATATATATATATATATGCGCGCGTGTTGTGTGTGTGTTGGCTTTGGCCAGCCGGTGCTCACTTTTTATGTTTTTTGGTTTCTTTAATCGGTTTGGTTTGTTTCCTGATATTACTATCGTCATTATTAAAGGAACTATATTCATGTAAACAAAAAATAAAAAGAAGAATCACTCCTAAAAATTTGTATAGCTCCTCTCAAAGTGGGAAATTCGTTTATTTAAAGATATGTTGATTTTGGCTCCCAGTTGATTCGAAATACGGGCTTGCTTAAAATGTAATTAACTCTACTTGGCCTTTAGGTCTATTGATAACGGCAACTATTAGCTTTGTGTTTAATTTGTTAAGCCCTTGCTTTTGCTTAAAGATTGTAGTTATGTAAGTATTCCCAAACAGCACATCGATCCGTTTCCTGTATAATAAATCAAACAGGTGCACATCTAAAGCTATTTGGTTGCCACCTTGCCTGTGTGTTTATTTAATAGCATGATGTTGGGAAAAAGGATTTGCAAGGATCGCAACGTCATACTAAAGCGAGTTTAATTTTGGCCTTTTGATGTGCATGCTATAACTACAAAAATAAGAAATGAGAAGTTTGCAAAGCTACTCATCCAACAATAATCATTGAATCTTCGTAAATTGCAGTGAAATTGCGTTAAATAATTCTAGCAGAGTAGTTCTGTTTGGATACCCATAGCAAATTTTAAAAAGTAATAAATGCGTGGATAATTAATTGGTGGCAAATGGAGGGGAGAAAACTGTTTGGTCTATAAAGAAAACTGCAATTTTGAGAGCGCTACCGGGAGCGCAGTGTCATAGGACTTGAAAGTTCCTAGAATCATAGTGTTTGAAATTAAGAAAAGTTTAAATCAGCAACATTTCTGTGGCTTTTAGTCTTGTACAGCAAACAATGAAAAAAGACTATTTTTAATGTAAACAGTGATTATACCAACTTGGGATATCATTCTGTCAGAAGCTTCATGTGAATAAACATCGGAACGATTTGGCAATAAGAATGGCTTCTCACTGCATTTGATACTGCGTCAATTGTTTTCTTTCTGCATAAGAAGCCAAAGTAATGAACCCCATCATCTTTCGGCCACCAATTGTAATAGATAAAAATAAAGTTGAAGTTACTTGCACATACCTGTAGGAACTTCAAATCATGCAGGAAGGGAGTAGAACTGGTACAATCTTTGGCATGATATTGGTCTTGTTTTACACCTTTCTTTAGTTTCGGGTTTTCTTCAAGAGCTTTAACTCTGTTCTTGTAATCTTCGTTCTCTTGTTGAAGGGAATCTTTCTTCCTATAAAGCTCACTATTTTCTTTTGTCATTTGGGCAAGTTCATACTTTAACTGAGCATTATTGCTACAAGAAGCTTCTTTTGTGGTTAGATCCCACTGCAGCCGTAAAATTTTTTCCTCAAGCTCAATTTTAGTAAGCTTGCAGTCCTCCAACTCTGATGTAACTTTTGCAGTCATTTGGATTCTTTGAATGTAAGATATTTGCTTAGCCTTCAGCTCATCGCACTCTAAGGATACAGTCTGATACGAAGCTTCCAATTTTCTGTATTCAAATTCTGCTTCATAGAGTGATCTCTTAAGGATGAAGATTTCATTTTGAAGCATTTCTGTTTTCTGAAGTTGTACTTCTATTTCAGAAATTTCTTCTTTTGCTTGTAGCCTCTCAAGTTCAGAGGCTTTCAGCTGCACCTTGAGTCCTCTAACCATGCCCTTCAGCTTCTCTTCATTTGACTTGACATTTTCCAACGAAACAACTACTTGTTCATGATTATTCATCAGAGTTTCATGGTTTTCCCTGGTAGAAGCTAGCTCTAGAGTAAAATTTTGCACCATGGCTTCATTTTCTGCTCGAAGATTATTAAGCTTGGTTTCATATAGTTTTACTTTCTCCCATTCTTCTTGGAGGGAAGCTTCAAGCATAGCTTTATCAGCATATAAATCATAGACCTCAAGAATAATATTAGAAGCCATCCTTGCGTGTCTATCACAGATGCCAGACATCTGGTCTCTTAGGTGTTCCACCTTTCTCTGCAAGTTACCTACTTCAGCTGTTTTTTCCGAATACATCTGTGTTAAAAATTTCTCTTCCATAATAAACCTTTCATCTTGCTTTTTGATTTCCTGAAGCAGTGAATCTAGGTCTACATTTATGATTTTTTCTTTCAAAGCAATTTCATCCAGGATTAAAGTAAATTTGTATTCCAAGTCTTCAACTAGTTTCAACATATCAGAAAAAGCAAGTTGTGATTCCCCCAATTTAGATTCCAATACTGTACATTGGCTATGCAACTCCAAGTTTTGCATTCTTAACTCATCATTTGTTGCCTGGAGAGTTTTAGATTCTTTAATCAAATTTTCATTTGTAGCCTGTATTTCTAAGTTGGCTAATTTCAGAATGCTGCACTCCTCTTGAGTTTCCATCCATTTTTTCTCCATGCTCTCCTCCTTCCTTTTCAACTCAACTTTTTGTGCCTCATTTGAAGTTTCCAGTCTCCCGATCTCGGCCTGGAGATTTATGACCACATTTTCAGAATTCTCCAGTGCCAAATGGGTTGACTCCTTTTCTTCAATCAGATGTCTCATTTCAGCTTCCAAGTCAGATATCCTTTCATATAACTGCACATTTTCTGTTTCTATGCCAAACAAAGCATTGTGCCCATCATCTGAACTTTCTAACACAGATAAATTACTTACATGATCATTGTAGACTAGAGTCTGGGAATCCTTTGTCCAATCATGAAAGTCCGAATCATGTGGAAAATCAGTTGAGCAATTTGAGGAAATTTTAGATGGCAGAGAGGCAACTTCAGTTTTCTGTTCTAGCTTGGAATACTTTGGACAGGCTTTTTCCTTCCCTAGCTTTTTGTAAGATTTCAGCTTGTTGGCCTCTGCAGATTGAACCTGATAATTAGTCGGTGGTGTAAATTCAGATACCAACTTTGCATGCATACTTCTCAATTCCTGACTAGAAATGCAGAATATATTTTCCTCTAGACTGAAATCTCTAACTTCATTTTGAAATGTATTATCATCTCTGACATTTCTCCTGACCAACTCATTGCAGGAATTAATCTCATACTCAAAGCAATTAGTCTTTGTTTCGAGCAACTTCCTTAGAAGAACAATAGAATACAGGATTGCCTCAGTCAATTCCTTTAAATCTATTTTACCTATATCTTTGGAAAGCTCTGATATACTGAAACAACTCTTATTTTTGGTGAATGTCACTTGACCCAGAAGTGAATCTTGACCCCTCAGGTTCTCTACTGAAAGCTGAATTTGCTTATATAACTCAAGAAACACCTCAGTGATGTTGACAGCAGTATCAGAGGCAAACAGAGGAAAGTTAGAAGAAAAGGAACCAGAAAATATTAGATCCTTTCTAGACTCTCCATGGTTCTCACAAAGTTCAGCTTCAAGATCTTGCACCCTTTCTGTTAAAGCTAAGATTTCATTGCTGAAAGCATAAACACCATCAGATAGCCTCTTTTCAAAGTTGATGATTTGTTTCCCTTTCTTAAACAGCTTATTCCTCCATTTTTCCTCATTTTCTTCCATAGTTTGAGCCATACAGAGTCTTTCAGTTTGCATCTCTTGATCTTTCTCGGCCAGAGTTTTTTCCAGAAACTGGATAGCACTCTCCATATTTTTTTGTTTCTCCTGCATAAATTGGAGCTCAAGCTCCAAGTTCCGGAATTCCTGTAGTTCAATCCCTTCATGCAGGCATCTTATTGCATTTTCATTGGTACCAAGATCAACATCTGAATTGCATAACTCCTTTTTCATCTTCTCTCCTAAAACTTCCACGCTCAAACTAAAGTCCTCTTCCTCAGTCTCTTCAAGCCCACGACTATTATTTTCAGCATCTTGAAACTGCAAGCTCCTCATTGATAGATCAGCAATTTCCATTTTCTGCTTTCTTATTGTCTTTTCTAATTTCTGGAGAATGGAAACAAGATCAATGTTTGACTCCTGTGTTTTCTTTAGCTTCAACTCCAAGTCACAATTAAGTCTTTTCTGATACTTGATCTCATCTTTCAACTCCTTTATTGTATTATCCATCTCTTCTATCTGGAACTTAAGATATCTGCTGTCATTTTTTTTAACCATGGTGGTTAGCCGTTGAATTTCATCCTTCAACACATCACTCTCTTTGTATGATGCTGATAACTCCATCTCAAGTTCTTTTTTATTCTTTGACTTCTTGTTTAAATCATTTCTCAGTCTCTCCACATCAATCATCAGCTTTCGAGCACTTTCTTCCCACATCTTCGCTTCACCATGAAGTAACTCGATTGTTGCTTGTGCTACACCCAGGAGATCTTTAGATGAACTAACACTCCTTGTCAATGTTGTATCACTGGCATGTGAAGCCTTCCCAAAGTCATCCATTTTATCTTGAAGCTGCGTCCCAAAACTTGACGTTACTGAGGATGAATGTATTGATCTGGAGGTATCATGGAGTGAATTGGGACAATTTCTAGAATAAGCTGAATCTTGTCTATCATTCGTGTTCTTCAATCCACTGACATTGCTTTGTTGGGGAAACTTTTCAATCCAAAAGGAAAAGGAACTCTCCAAAGAGTCAACGCCATGATCTGAACATGTTGCCAATGGACTTATTCTCTGCAACATCAGAAGGTGATTTTATTGTCTTAAAAAGAGAGTCAATTTGAAAATGGAAAGGTGCTTAAATTACAGTATAAGAATCGTAAGATAATAAAAGAGAAAATTTACTTGCACAAACTGTGAGAGGTATTTGCATAATTAGGACTAAGAAAAAAAGAAGTTAGAGGGAGACCAGGTGTTATTGAACGATTTGCATAGAAGTAAGTGAAGTGTAAGTTCATGCAAGTTTCATTACTCATGATAAAATATCTGGTGCCATACTTAGTGATCTGAAACAACTAGTAGGTTTGCTTTACACAAGTAGCAGTATACTTTTGATTTTCTTCCCAGGCACAACACTGGAATGATAGAGCTTGATGACTCATTCTGAAATACAAGATTTTTCATTTACAACTACGAACACTTCATATTCCACTCCTATCTTGAACAATTGATTGGCTTAAGGCTAAAGCACAAGATATTGATAGGCACAAAAGGTTCATTGCATAACAGTTAAATAGCTATACAATCCTCATACCTTGCTGCTAAGTTCTCCTTTATAATATGTGTTTTCTAATTGCTCACAATGCGAAGATCCACTAGTCCTGCTGAATGTATTGTCAGATACATCAGATATATTGTCTACGTCATCATAGCCAACATTCATTTCCTCCACATATGAAGTTGCATTCTTCCTGTGCTATCCCAAAGAATGAGTTCATATTTCATGATCATAAGCATGCAGAAGTTAAAGCAGAATAAAGTTATTCCACAAACAGCAGACCTGTATTTGCTTCTTTGGGTCAAGCACTGAATTTTAACCTGAAGAAAGAGAGAGAGAGAGAGAGATTAAGTTTTTTTTAACAATTGTACAAAAACTCCGGTCCTACTTAGAACAAGCTGAAAGCCGGAAAAAGGAAAATTGACCAGTTGAAAAATTGGGATGTTTTCCACTTACTTGGTAAAGGAAATATTTGGGTGTGGTAGGTAGGTAAGGTAAAATTGGGATCCTTAATACTTCACCCTATTCAGTTGCAACCAGTAATCTAAGGTAGTTACTCTGCTCACTATCATTGCCATTTGCACTCATGAATCAGAACTACCAAAGGCTATCAATGCTCAAGAAAGATTATCAATGATATAATTATTAAATTATGTTTCTTCTAATTTTTTTACTATTTATTTAAAATTAACATTAAACAAAATAAGAATTGTTTTCTACTTTAAATATTTATAGCTAAATTGATTTCTAACCTGTTTACTACCAATTTTAACAGCTCTCTCTCTATCTCCCCCCTTAAACCTTTATGGCACAATTTGTCTCTAACATATTCACAGAAATCATGTTAACACCTGAGAATTGCCTGGATGAAGGCAAATCTATAGTTCAATGCAAATTGAATGTTTAGTTAGCTATGGTTTATGTGTAAGATTGCTCATATTTATTCTTTTTTAATGGTTTATGTGTAAGTTGGACAAAGAAATTCAAGAATACGTTGATAATTAATTCATGGATGTATGAATTTCATCTTCTTTGAAAGCATAATTCGTTGTTATAAAGCAGGTTAATATCTTTATAAATAATGTAGGCAACTAGTTAGTTGAAAGGTAATTGAAATCAAAACCATAAAATTATATACAAGTATAAACATTTGAACAGTAATACTATTTCATAATGTTAGTGTTCTACGATAGTACTAGAATAAAAGTTGCTAGTGACAATTAAGTGGCATATAAATATAATTCAAGAAACTCAAGTCTTACCTGTAAGATCGCCCCATGGGAACAATGTTGTTGCAAAGGCAATGATGTGGTAGAAATTTCTGGTCTAATGTAACTTGCTAAATTAATGGTAGCCTCTCCAAGGGTCCCAAACCTTGCAGATCCCTATATTAACAATTATGCTACTTGACTCATATCAGGTTGAGCAAGTTAACTTTGAGAATATTAAATAAACGAAATAAAATATAATCAAGAAATGAATGTAACAGACAGACCATGGCAACAATAAGCTTAAGGAGGAGGCCTTCATTATCTTCTAGAGAATCATCAGAAATCCATATGGTACTTAACATTGAGTCTTCCCAATAACACTGTCCATTTTGTACTAATGCTTTGCCAGATTTGGCTATTGTTTCCCCTGTTTCCGTAGAAATAATAGAAAGAAAAAGATTGTTCCACCCCTTCTCTATCTGCATAATAGTAAGATGAATGATATAAGTACGCAGGAACCTTTTGAGGCTTAAGCAATGATAATATTGTAAACTACGGTTAACAGTTAGAATTTTATTTTATTTCCTGTTTTCACTCCACAGCAATCCAAACGAGGCTGAATTAATGAATGATTTGTTTTAATCATCACACCCAAGAAAAAGAAACATTCAATAATTACTAGTATATTTGATCATGGAAATGGTGATGCCAGAATAACTTGAAATTGGATAATTGTAAAGATGAACATTATTTTTTTGGTACTGAAATATGAACAATAATAAGTTGGAGAGTTGGAGAAAAACCTCAAGAGCCTGGAAGTCATAGAATTTGAAATCCAATCTCTCATGGAATTTATTTCTGGCATGCCTACTCAAACTGCATATTTTACTCTTTCCTTTTCTACCCTTCAATTGTTTCCCGTTTTCATAATAGGCTTCATCACTGCCACATTGAATCATATCATGTCACATCATTTGCTTAGAATAAAGAGGAAGTTGCTTGTGGTTCCATGTAACCAAAAGATGGAGTACGTTTGAACCGATCAATTATTTTTTACACCAGTTTCTTGAGTTATTCAAATCAATTCTTATACAACTATAGTATAACCAACAATTCATATAAATAAGAAAGAAAGCACACTAAACATTATCTAAATTGTGAGGAAAAGCACCAAGATAGTTTAAACACTCCATTAATTTAGAATCTTTGTGGATGTGGGTGTGAATGTACTGTATTTTAGAAATAACAAAAAGGAAAATTTTACCTTGACATAGCCATTCTACTTCTATACGCACTGCAGAAAGTGAAGTGTGATATTACCACAGGAGGTAAGTAACTTGTGACAAGAAACAAAAAGTGCTATATAAATGCTGCTAACATAGTCCCTTCCTTGTTTTCTTTTAATTTTAAAAACTTGTTTTAAGATTACGTGTCATTAGCTAAAGTTAATATTATAAACAGCAAAATTCTCTTTCTGAGTATTTAACACAGCTGCATTATTAGAACTCAGATTTCAAGCTATAATTTTTTCAAACCTCCTTTAATAAGTTATATTATTTGTATAGTATTTTTATGACAGTTTTAAAATTTTTTTCTTTTAATGTTTCTTTATCACATTAATAATCATATTGTACACTTCTCTCTTCTCTTCCAATATCTATTTGCAGTACAAAAACAATTATATAATTACATCATCTTTTTCTGTTTTGTATTAGCCTGCAATAACTTACAAAGGTTCCTTTGGAAATCGTTAACTGAATAATGAACTCAAGAAAGGAAGCATTTATGATTTGAGATTTCATGCGGTCCAATCAATTATCTAAGTGCAGGTCAACTACGCGAGTTTCTTCCTTTCATTCCTTTGAAGGATCGATGTTATTATTGTAAGGTAACCATTTTAGTTACTAATTTATAAATAGTAACCATTAAGTATCGCATAATAAAATAGCTATAGTTTTGTATGATTATTTTGTTATAAAGAATAGTTATCCAAAGGACAATCTTGATAAATAAACAAATATTCCAGCTAAATAAAATAGGATTGAAAATGACACAAAAACCATTCTCCAATTTAGATAATTAAGAGGAGTTTTGAATAAAAAATATTAATAGCACACCTAAATTTCCTGTCTGAAATTTATTCTTCAAAAAAACAAATTTGCTCTATGAAATTTGATATAGCAATCTTTATTTCATCTTGGGGTTCTTGAAGGTTTGTTTGATTTTCTTAAGATCTTAAGCACCGCAAGCTTAAATAATGTCTGAAGTACTTGTTAACAATCAAATAAGCATATATATAATTCACAACCTCACAATAAAACAAGAACAGTCAATTGAGAGGAAAAAATAATATAAAAAATAAATAATTTTTTTCATAAATTAAAAATAATTTATCTCTTTAAAATTTAGAAAAAGTATATAATAGTAACTTCTAAAAAATTAAAGTTAATTTTAACTCCAAAGAAATTTTAGTATTTTTTATATTAATTTTTTCTCTTACAAAAATTTATCCAGACACATAACATAATAATATAGAAATTATACAATTTAATTTGGTGCCATGAATATGATAACTCGTAATGCTTTAATTAATACTTGAAATTGTTCATCTGTATGTATTGATTTTTTAAAGCGTTAACTTACTAACAAGTTTGTTCTGCCAAATTATTAACCTGTAAACAATTGTATTTGAATTTGTATTGCGTTTGTTACGTTTACATTGATACGTTTGCAAACAATTGAACAGATTATTATAATTCACTCTTAAAATAAGATTTTCATAATTGACCAAACGTTAATCTTAAGTATTAAGGGGTTAATGTTTTTATCTACACTACGCGTACTTTTTATAAGAAATAATCTAGTTTGAGTTTTAAAAAAAAATAAAAATCATAACATGGTAAAACTAATTTGAAATAAAAAATTTATTTAAAGAAAATTAAGTATATATCACTTGAATTACTAATTAATTATAAAATAAAAAGTTTGTGAAAAATTTTAAATTATAAACCTCCTTTCAATAATAAAAATAGAAGGACCTGTAGATTAAAATCAAAGTAATAAATAATTGCTTGATTAAATTTATTTATTTTTAATTACAGTGTAAAATTTCATGCATAAAGTATATTCAGGACGTAACTATAATTCTTATAGAACCAACAGAGTGATAAAACTATGGTTAACTACCGTTCATAATTTGTATAATTTATATATATGCTTTGAATTCCTATATTTATATATTTTGTTATTTTCTCTATTTTAAATTCAGCGACTTTTAGTAAAAACATTTTGAATAAATATTTAATATTTTAATGAAATATTAATTTTTACTATGAATTTTTTGACGAATTAAATGATTTTTAAGTATAGTGTGAGTTAACTTTCAGCAAACAAATAATTAATGAAAATGATTTATTCAACCAATTAAGATAATTTTTTGCTTTACTACATTAAATTAATCTACATATATTTTTAACTTAGTTAAATGTATTTGCGAGAATAAACTTTTGTAAATAACTTTCCTGTTAATTTTTTTATTTATTTTTGGGTAGAAACATTTGTATTGTGTCCCATTTAAATAATCTTATTGAAATGATTCTTGAAACGTATAGATTATTTTGAATTTATTTCTAAAGAGTATGGATAGAGATTCACGAACATTAAAATATGCAAATAACTTAAGATTGCTTATTCAAATACAATAATTAACTTATTTAAGCAACATTTATAAGAGGAACTTGTTTAATAACAAGTTTTAGTGAAATACAAAGTATTTATTAAACTTGATATATGACAATAGATCCTAAGCCATTGCCTTCTTAATTGCAGCTGCCAATTCATCATAGGCTACTTCCCAAGCATTGCCCAATTCATCACTCCATTTGTCTCCAACTGCTTCCTTTAATGTTTTCAACATTGCTTCTTTAACCACCTGCAAAACCATTAAGGTTTTTTAAGATACTGATTATATTAACAAATGAAGTTTTCTAATTAAAAATACAATTAAAAATATATTGATATTAAACATTACATTTTTTTTCACTATTTTAAACATTTTTAAAGTAATATTTATGTTTCTTTTTATATTTGTCTATTTTTCAAAGAAGAATTCATTTTTATTCATTTATCCACATAACAGTTCAAGATAATATTAATTTTTTTAATCATGTCTTTATCTCTATCTACCTAGTTCTGAAATACTTTAGAATGAGAGAAAAATGATAGTGAAAATCATATTTAAAAAATCTAAAATAATTTAATATAAACAAGGATATCAATTATATCATGTAATTTATATTTTATCTCCCTAACAAAACAAATAAAAAAATTAATTAATCAATAAAACCGTTGCTAAATCAAAGAGGGGACAATTATCCCTTGTAAAATTAAAAAATACATTTATTGCGACACTTTATCATTTATCATACCAGGAAATGAGGATCAATGACTCCTTTTTGGACATGAACAGCACCCAGTTGCTTTAAATCAGCCACCACTTCCCCCTTAGCTCGAAGTTGAACAGCTGAGTCACGCGTCTGCGAATTAAAAAAATATCATATGACAATGAATATAATCAGAAAATTCTAATTATATATAGGATTTGATAATATACATTCCCAAGAGAACATGGTAAAAATATAAATTACAAATTAACAAATATTTATTGATATATTCTAAGAGTGTTAAAGATACATGCTTAATCTTGAAATCACATAAAATAGCTATAACTTTAGTTTGCTGGCACTTACCAGTTGAAAAATTTTTTCAGCATGAGCCTTAAGCTTAGGATTGTTGGGGTCTACTCCATCACTTAGAAACGAGAACATGTTCTTTGCTGCAGGTGCTTTCTCCAGTATCCTATTTTTGATCAAACAATTTTATTATATAAATGATTAAAATATGATATCGTATATAATCATTTATATTTCTTATTTATTACACGCATCTCAAAAATACAAGTATAAAAGAGAAAAGTGATGCAGAAAACATTTCTCAAAACCAAAGACATGCATGCATGTACACTGAATCTTTGGAAAACACTACAAACAGCAAAAGGGAACTTACAAGGTGTAGAATACTACGCTGAGCTGAGGAATGTTTTGCTTGAATGCTTCGAATGAGCTATTCACCAAAGCCTCTTGCTTCTCAGTGAAAGCACCCATATTTCTTTTGTATTGTTTTTTTGTTGTTGGTGCTGTTTGTTTTGCTCAGTGCAACAATTTAGCATCAATACTTGTTTATATAGATAGAGGAGGGTTGCATGGAGAGTGAGAAGAACTAAAGCTCTTTCTTGTGGTTGTTCTTTTGGCTTGTGAAGGGTGGCAATTCACATGATGAAGAGACAATGATCTTTCGAATGCTTAAGCAAATAACTTTTAACTGATTATATTAGATAAATATTTTAAGAATTATTCTGAACTTCAAACAATTTAATGTAAACTTTTTCAATTTTCATCCAAGTGTAATTATATATATATACATTATCAATTGCACTAATCCATGCTCAAAACATATTGATTGAGAAATTTAAAATATTAAGAATTAAATAGAAAATATAATGTGATATAATAAATATTTTTTATTTTTTAAAAATAAATATAAATTGTTTTATGAATTGAAATATTACTTTTTTTTAATATTTCTCAAATTTTATTTCCTTAATAAATATTTCTTAAAATTACTATTTTAACAAAAACATTAAAATGATGTGCTAACTTATAATTGACGTAATCTACGTAAATTATATAAAATAAGTTTACACAACGATTTCTTGAAGATTAGAAAAGGCAATTTTGTGTGGTTCATACGATAATCGTGACGTTTGTGGATATGTTTAGCGCATTAGCCTGTATTAGCTTCCAATGGTTAGGCTTTAGAATGCAGTGCAGGGTAAAGTCAAGGTTGTTTTCATTGTATGATTTTTGCATTTTATGTTCAAAATAATTTTTAATAAAGAATGAATAAGTATAAATAAATATGATCAGGTAATTTCAATAAAGTCACAATGTAATTTAAAATTATAGTAATTAATTTATGAGAAGAGATAATTGATATCTTAAATGAGTTTTTATTATATTTAATATGGGCTTCAGGATTTATTTACTATTTTCTTAAAAAATGTAATAAAACTAAAAAGTCAATTTAATTCAGATTAATTTTAACTAAATTAACTTGGGAAATGAATGTACTGTTAAAATTTTTGTTAGCAAAAATTTCTCTTGCTAACAATTTTTTTTGTAAATACAAGTTAATACTCAACATGTTTTATGTTTTTATGATTAGAATGTGAAAAAAATAGATATTTTAAATTAAATTAGATATTACACTGTCAGTCAATATTTTTATTTTAATAAATTTTTAATTAATTTTAATATTGAAATAACACTGTTAATATTCGTAAATCTTTCTGTGGATAAGGCATGGTTGAGGGACTTTATATTGTAAAATTGAGTCCTTAATTTTAAAATAAAAGATTTTTAAGAGTTATTTTCTTTTGCGTTAAGTTACACAAATTTTTGTGCATTAGTTATAATATAATTATTTTAAAATTTGAATCATTATAAAATATATTTTAAAATTATTATAATCTTACTGTAATGAATTTGATTAACTTGAATGAAATTATTTCAATTTAATTTATAGTTTTAAATTTAAATTTTATGAATATGTATTTTATAGGTTTTAATGATGTCAAAAAGATAATAAGAAGAAAAATCAATGTCATGAAGATCGTTGAGATGAATAGACAAAATAACAAAAATAAATGGTTAAAACATTTAGATTTTAGAAAAAATTGTTAAAAGTTTTTTTTTAATAAGTTTATTTAACCATTTTTAAATTAATCAAGTTTTACTTAAAATAAATTTTAAAATAATTATTTAATCTGAAAAAAGCTTAAATGATAATTTAAAACTATCTAAAAAGTGGTAAAACTTCAATCTTTCAAGTTCTGAGTTTATTTTAATCAATTACTATATACAATAATCGATTATTATGTTATTCTTGGACTCAGAATTTAAAATCTCATCTATATAATTTATTATCAAGGACTAAAATACATAAAAAGGTGCATTTTGAAGAGATGTGTCCTTTTGAAATAATCTCTAACCGTCCATACAAATTGTTCAATATAGTTAATATTCTCCAACACTTTTATACACAGAAAAATATACTGCGAAGATCAATTGAATAATTATTCTTATTCATTAATTATCTTGTTTAAATGTTGGTCAATTTTTTATTTTTGAGAAAATTTTGTAAGATTTTAAGTTGTATTACTTATTCTATATAGAGAGTAATTTCTTGTACTATTATTAAAGTTGTGAAAAAGGTGAAGAATCTCGTGTAAAAACAAGAGTGTAGTATAGAAAATTGGACGTAGGTTACAAGGGATGGCCGAACCAATATAAATTAAGTTTGTAATTTCTTTTTCCTTATCTCTTTAATTTATTGTAAATCTATTTCTTTGATAGTTTATTCGTATAACTCTCGTATCTCTTCATCTACTAAGTTAAGTTTTTGAATTAAATTTTTAAATATTATAGAAAAAGATTGTAGATTATAAAATCTAAGAAAAAGTTTATAATCATTAAGGCAATTTGGATAACAATTTTAATAAATATAATTGTGTTAAAATTTGAAAAAAAATTAGTAAATGATAATTAAATATAGTGTCTATTTATATTAAATTATTTATCGAAGTTGTTTAAGTAAGTTTTATTTTAACACATTTTTTTTATTTTTTAATTTAAATAACTCTTCACTCCAACGATATAATTCTGAAAAAATTAATTCATGAATCTTACAAAGTATGTCAATTTTTGCATTTCATAAATGTATTTTTATTTCAAATTAAAATTATCAAAATTATGACAATATGGGTTCCTTTTTACCAAAAATAAATAAATAAAATCAGTAGTTTAATTTTTGATCGCCTACATTTGTTGCCAAGTCACAGTGCTCCACCAATAGTGGGAAATATGAGTAGTGAAGAATGGCACTTTGATTATCTAAAACTTAAACTAAACTTATTTTAAAATTTAAGTTTTTAATAAAATCAGATAGTTAAGTCCATTTTTTTTATCCAAATTTATGTTGGATTTCATTTAACAAAATCAAATTTTATTTGCTAAAACTTGATATATATATATATATATATAAAGTCCCACATGACCAAGTCCACACACTCGTAGCTTCAATTGATACCTAAATTCACTTCTCTTATTTTGTTATTGACGTATTCTAATTAGTTGCTTCAATGTTGGTAATAACCATGAACTCTAGCGTAGATAAATGGATTTGGGTCTAGATTCATAAAGAATAAAACTACATATTTTAGATAAATCAAGTGTTCTTGATATCCTACACTATGAAAAAAGTAGATGGTTACAGAGTTTTATTTATTGAGAGATTTAAATGTATTTAAATGCTATATTTTTAATTAATATATTTTACGTAAACTAATATAAATCTTATCAAATTAAAATAATTTTTAATAAAAAAACTAAAAGTAAATTTAAAAATAATTTTAAATAAAATTCAGATTTTAAAACTATTTTTAAATAATTTAAAAAAATAAAATTAGATTAGTTTAAAATTCAAGTCCATATAATTAAGTTAAAGTAAATTTAGATTGATTTTGTTTAAATCAATCCATACACACCCTGAAGAAAGACACATCACATTTGGTAACGATTTAGTGAACTACTTATTAAGATATAAATGTGAAGAAAGAAATATAACAAGTGAAGATAGTGTATCAAATATTATTAATTAAATCTTTATTTTAGTCTATGAGATTATAAGTATTAGATATTTTAATTTCTAAAGTATTAAAAATGTTATATTAATTTCTAATTTTTATTTTTTTCATCAGTTTAATCATTTGAACCATACACCGTTAGTACATAATAATATAATGCTAAGTAACATGTATGATTAATTGCATTACAAAAGCAACATTGTTTACAATGTAATATATGTTTTCATTTCATTTTATTCATTGCTAACTACCATTTAAGTTTGTGTTCTCCATTGAAAACATGAATTTCTCGTTACAAAATTAACTACACTACATCATCATTCATTACATTAAAATAATAAGGGTCTTAATCCCATTGAATTCTCTTCTGCAACACAAACACATTACTTTCTTTTTATTCATCAACTTATTCACCTCATCCATTTCTTAATTTTGAATCAAAACTACCATAAAAATGATACTTTTACACTCTCTGCCTCTTAACTAGTGCAAGTGTTCACAAAATTGGCTAAAAAAACTCTCTCAAATAATGAATTTCAAAAACTTAAATGGTCCCAACTTATTCTTATCTTCTCAAGACTTATGGATTCTTCTAAACCATGTTGTAAAACTTGTGGCTAAATATCTTATGGTGATTGCTATAAAGGTAAAAAATAACATTTTGTCTAAACTTGACTTTTTCCTTTTTACTAGTACTTTTCAACACTGACATGACACAAACATGAACCGATAATGGCAAATTTTGATATGGGTAATGTTAAGAAATAACGATGAAGAAGAAATATTGGTAATTGAAAGGTTTTAAAAATTAGAAACTAAAATATTTAACAGTTATTAATCTTAAAAAATGAAATAAAATAAAAATATATATCATACTATATAGATGTTACTTTTGTCACATAATCAACCATATATGTCATTTAATGTGATATGTCAGTATTTTGTTATTGTATGTTAGTGGTATATTGTTCAAAGAGACTAAAATAATAGACAAAGACGAAAAAAAAAGTTAAAAATTAACATGACATCTTAAAAATTATAATAATTAAAATTTTTGATTTCTTGTAATTTCAAAGAATAAAGTGAAAGTTTAGTCAAATATTAAAGTAAAAGTTAAACTCTTAAAAAGATCAAGTTAAATTTAATAAAAAATTTATGATAAATAATAGAATAAATTTAAGTTTTAAAATTATTAAATAAGTTAAATTTAGCGTATTTTTATCTTAATCAATAACATTTCATATACTTATTTGTGTGTAGATATAAGGAAAGGAGAAATAGATTATCCAAAGAAGGTATTTTTCCTTCTTTTAACATTAATTCTTTTTATTTCTTTTTTTTTTATTATCTCTTCTTTTGTTATATTTTATTCAAATTTTATGATTTTTACAGTTATATTAAATCTCACATTTGTGTGGGTGTGATTGCGATCCATAGGCAATGAAGCTTAACAACATGCAAAAATTGTTTGAACTCTTGAATTAAAGCTAAAAGCTATCACTTAATGTTTTAAAGCTAAAAAATAGTTCTTTCTTTTGTAACATGGTGTTTGTCATTTATTATATTTGAACACATAGAGATTAAAAAAAAATGATTTTGTCTCTGTTATTCATTATTGTTACTTTCGATGAGTAACTGTAATTATAGTTAAATAGAGAAAAAAGAATAAAAATAAAAAAATAAAAATACATTTATCCTTGTAAATAGTTCAAAAGTATTGTATTAACTAAGACTATAAAAAAAAAGGTAGTAAATTAGTAGTTAAGGTGTTGTGAACCATTTCCCTTTCATTTCTCCATCCTTCACTTCCTCTTCCTTCTCTCCGTTCTTCACTCACCTTTTATAATCCGTCTGCTTTTTTCCTTCCTCCTTCTCGAAATCTCGATAAAATTATTATACTCAATTCTTATGATATCTAATGTTTTTCTTGTTAATTTAATCTAAATTGTGATTATAATCTAAGCATAACTACTTTGGCTAAGGTATAAAAAAATGTGAAAGTAGAATAAAAATATATACTTTAACATGATAGAAGTCCTTACACGTGAACGTGATCTTGGTGTCAACTCTTACATCTCAGCTACAGTCAACGATCATAACTCTGTTCTCCCTACATTATAATCTTCATAAAGATTTATCTGTCCTTCCACATGTAGATAAAATTGGAAAAAAAATGTGCAGCAAAATACTAAAATTTCATCACTTCGGATGATATTTCAGATCACAAAATGAAGGATACCACAGATAATGATGAACCCCGTTAGAGGTTTTTCTATTGTGAAAATTGTCCTTTCTTCCTCTACCACTATTAATGAAAAGTCTAGCCTTGACTCAGTGCAAACCGATACCAATATGGATGCTGGTGTTGATAAAGCGAAGGGAATTAAAAAAGACTCCTTAATTGCAAGTAAGCAATACACCACCGTGGTGATCATCATTGAGCCTATAAGACCAATGAGAATGTCCCTAGCAGGGTTCTTTGTTTCGTCAGCCACAGTTGACACTGCATCAAAGCCTATGTAAGCAAAGAAAATGACAGTTGGAGCTTTAAACATACCGTGAACACCAGCAGAAGCAAACTGGTAGTGAGATTTTTCGAGTTGGCCTTGATGAAGCCAGCGATGATTGAGTGGAAGATTGTGGCAATTTTGTTGAAGGTGGAGGATCCTTTGGTGCAGCAAATTATGAGGGTGGCTATGGCTATGAGAGCCAAAACTACAATCGTGTCAAGATGGCCAAAGTCAAGGTTCATGTTATGGATTATTATGCAGAAGTCAAGATGGCCATATTAACAGAACATAGTTGCATTAGTTACTGAGAGTTGACTATAAGATTACTTCAAATTTTGTTTGCTCTGTTATGGATAATCCACATTTGTTAAGAGAGAAAGAGATTGGGTATTTAAAAAGCATTATAAAAAAAATAACCAATAGTGCAGATAAATATAGAAACTATTTCATATTTAAGAAAAAAAAAATTGTTTTGGTTGATCATGACTTGCTTAATCCTAATAAACAAGACTATCAATAAAAATTATGTATGTGCTTATTTTATTATATATTTTAATATTTATTTATTCAAACATTATAGTATAATTCTTTTAAAGTTTTATTTTGGTAAATATTTATTTTAATTATTTGAAAGTCTTCCCCAGCAACCGCTGTCACAGAACAGCGCTACTCTCATGGCTTCGAGGCTCACTGTCGCGTCCCCTTTCGAAACCGATAACCCAATCGAAGTCTCTCTGAGAGAAGCCTTCGACTCACTCAAACAAACCCTGAAGCCCCCATTCTCTCTAACCATTCCAAAACCCGACGAATACACTCTCCTCAACCACGCAATTCTTAATGCCGTTTTGACGGAACCCCATTTATCCAAAACCCACCTCAAACACTTGCACGGTATCGTCACTGACGGCTACGCCACTTTCCTCAACTCACTCCTCAACGTCGTTCACCACTTGTACCCTAAACTCCTCGCTTCCGTTAAAACCCAGTTGCTTTGGGTCACTGAAGAAATGGTTCGGGTTTTAGGAACCGGTTTCGACGCTCTATTGGTTTCACTTTTGAGGCAAATTTCTGGTGGTGATTTCGGTGATGGAAATTTGTGGCTTTGCTTCAAGTTGGTGACCCTTTTCGTGGAACAGTGGCAGTGTTTTCTAGACGAAGCGCCGCACGTGTTGTCGTGTGCGTTGTACACGTTTCTTAGGGTTTTGGGTGATCACTGTAGGGTTCGGGTAGAAAAGTTGGAGACTTTGAGAAGGTTGGAGATTCATTTGTGTGTGAAGATAGTGAGGGAAGAGTTTCATTTGTGTTTGAAAATTGGGAGGGATTTTATTCGGTTGTTGCATGATTTGGGTCATGTTCCTGAGTTTAGGGCTATTTTGAAGGACCTTGTGGTGAACCCTTCTTTGTTTAACACTTCTGGCTTTAAAGGTGTTTCTCAGATTTACTGCACAAGGACTCCTAGTAGATTTGTTTTGCTTAGGATTAGTCCTGAGATGGAGACATGGTTGAGGTTTTTGCTTACCAATGTGAAGTTGGGGTGCCAGAGGAGGCACCAAATGTGGTTCGCTAGGAAGTTTCTCAATGGGCCTGATAGAGAGACTGTTATAGTTGATATTGTTAGGTTCATATGTTGTGCCCACCATCCTCCAAATGAGATCATTGGGTCTGATATTTTTCCTAGATGGGCTCTTATTGGTTGGCTTTTGAAGTTGTGTAGGAAGGACTATGTTGAGGCCAATGTGAAACTGGCTTTGTTTTATGACTGGCTCTTTTATGATGAAAGGGTGGACAATATCATGAACATTGAGCCTGCGGTTTTGTTGATGGTGCATTCTATTCCAAAATACGTTGACATTACCCACGCTCTTCTTGGCTTCTTGTTACTTCTTTTGGATAATTATGATGTAGAACATAAGGGTCTCATAGTTAAAGGTGTGCGGTCTGCTTTTTGGTTTCTTGTCAGCAAAGGCGTGATTCGGTCTACTCATGTTTTGACTTCTTGTCCTGCAATTTCCCCTGCTCTAAGAGAGGGCCTGCACAGGTTATTATCTGGTGGTAAAGTTGGAGGTTCTAATGGATTTCTGCCTGGGTAGCTGCTAGCCCACAATGGTCAACTTTGAGTTTCTCAATTTTGTCCTTAATCTTTACCGAGGTTCTAGGAATATTATACAAGTATCCATCAAGCAGGACACACAAGTGTAAGTTCTGATTGTTGTAAATTCAATTGCAAATTATGATATTTTGATAACTGGACTTTAGTTAGATTAGCTCTAGAGTAATCATACATAACTATAATCATATGTGGGCAACAGTGTGAGAATGATAATATCAAGGTGGAATTCACTCTTAAAGTATGCAAAATTTATTCTTTAATGCTTATGAACAATTCTGATTGTGTATGATCTTGAATTTTACTTGAATTCCATTACATTGATCTGTGATGAGGTATGGATACTGTTCGGAAGACAAGTGTATCCATCGAAAAATAATAAAATGTTCTTAGATTAAGTTTCCGAAATATCGTCCCACAAGGATTGATTTTCAATTACTAAGAATTTTCTAATTCAATTGTTTAAGCTTTAAAGATACGGGATTAATTAAAAATAAGAATTTATAAAATCAATTATAAAATTACGAGCAAGGAATATAATGCACATCTTGGTTAAACTTATCGGAGAGGAACCTAAAACATATGGGTTTTCTCATTCAATCTTTTATGTTATTCTTTTGTTTAACTCTAAATTCGATTTTCTTGTGATTACCAATCATTCATACGAATACTATTAATACCAAATGATCATGCAATATTAATATTTTTTTCTCTAAATCAACATCCCCAATGGTCATGCAAGACATTAATTTAAGAAAGTTTTAGGAGCTTACGAACTTGTTAATTTAATAACGATTAGAAGAGAGATTGGTTTGGTCTACCTAATCCTTTGTTTCGTTTTATCCTATAGATTTATTAATTAACCGAGGTATGGTCGCCTGACGATATAATTAATTAGGATTAAGAGAGAAGTGCAATAGAATAAAATCTAATCATCAAACGAAAATCAAATTTAGATTCAAACATCAAAATCTCATAAATTCATAAACAATAGTTCTCATAACTCTAGCTATGTACTTAACTACTCATGCTAAAGAAAAAAATTAAAATAATTATAAATAAAGTCATAATAAAAAGAAATAGCAAACTAGAGTATGAGATGTATTTCCGGTCTTCATGTACGATCGCTTGAAACTACAAGTCTTGCCAAGCATGTGTCAAAGATTCCGTGCAAGATAGACAAGATCAGATGTATTCTAGAGAGAAAGTCAAGATGTAAAAATGGTCCCTTTATGATGCCTGATTTTGACGGTGTTATAGGATTTGAAAATCCTAAAAAACTCTTCATAATTGGGCTTCCTGTAGATGAGCACGGCTGTGCAAGGCCTTAAGCACGATCGTGCATAGGTTCAAAGCATCCATGTGCTTATTAAATGGGTCTGGGCGTGCTGACTGCTGCGAAGCTCTAATTTTCCATCAATTTGGATCCAGAATGCACTCAAAATTCACTTGCGGCCTCTTTATACTAAATTGTACAATTAATATATAAATTAGTGTAAAACTCAAATAAAATAAAAGTCAAATATGAGTATATGAGTTGTAAAAGAAAGCCTAATTACAGACTTATCAGATACCTTACAGCTTCAATTATTCCTTTGTTCATCTAGCAGGTTTCTGATCAATCCATACATTCAATCACTGTTAACTATTTAGGATTTAACTCCTTTTAAAGTGAGAGATTTAACCCCATTTATCTTTTAAATTCGTGAGATAGTAGGAACCATAGTAACATTACAGTTTAAGCATGTTATAGCTTGCATCTAATATTCTAATGTTATTTTCGTTTTAATTTGCTTAGATGCTCTAAAGGAGCATCTCCATGTATTATTTCTTACAGCAAAGGATGGGTCAATATACTCCAGACTCCAGGTAGTGACCAATTCATGTTGATTGTTGGCTGGCACAAATGCACCTGTGCTACCTAATTTTGACACTGTTATAAGCCCATGATAATATTGTGACTGATCTTATCTGATTGTTTATGTTTCTGGAACGTGTGGCTCTGTTTTGAGTTTACATATCAACTGAGGAGGCTAATGCTACATGTGCTATTTCTTACCAAGAGAAATGCTAGTAAGTAACACATTAATTATTATTGGCCCATTTTTTAAGAAGTCGATACCCGCATTAAAAAGCGGCTATTTATGAGACAACTAAATTGACGTTTTAGAACACATACCATTTATAGAGTAGAATGTTAAGGTAGTATATTAGTAGCATTTCTTTTCACAGTTACGATTAGTTCAGTTTGGTATTTTAAGTCAGGGGTACACAAAGACCAGGATGTGTTGACTGATTCGATATCTCAGGTAAACTAGCTTTGCTCACTATATTCTCAGTGTGGAATAAGTTGAGGCTGATTATTTTTATTTAGAAAAATATTTTCTGTCGTTTCCTTAGTACTATTCAGTTTAGTAGGAAGCTAAGAGGTTCAGTTCTGGTTGTCATTACATTACTCTTTAGTGAGGTCACGTGCCCCTCCCTGAAGATGCACAAACAATCTCACGTGAGTTTCAGCTTCTGAAAACTGATATTCTAATAATTGGATTACTTTTCATTCAGTTTCTAAGTCATTGTGGTGAAACAAAGTAAGGGAGACCTTGGACAAAAATAAACGTGCTACTGATTGATAGGTCATTGAAACTGGATGCTTTTGTCTTGTAGATATTCTGTCAAATCTTTCTTTTAAAATTTGTTATACGTACTTTTCTCCATTAGTTTCTTGTATTGTGATTGATTAGTCGAGCAGAACTCCTAAAAGCATTTATGTTGACTGACTGAAATTTGTAACTTTTTCTCATCGTAGTTCTCGTGTTACTGAAGAACGTAAAAGAAATCTAATATTGGTTTTGAGATCCTCAAGTCAAATCTATGGCCGGCTCTATTTCTTTATCATGGTTGTGTACGGGAAGATTACTGGAATAGCAAGATCAAATTTATGTTAGTACTTGATCTATAACGTAACATATGTGCAAATATATTATTGATGAAAATGTATTCAACAGTTCTTATAATTAACTGTTTAAAGTTGAGTATGTTTAGAAGTATGATTTCATCAATCGAATTTGCCGTCGATAACTCAAATTGTCTTTAGCATGTCAAAAACTCAATATTTATCACTTGTAAATAAAATCAGTTGAACTAGTCTTTTAACACACATTATCTAGTATACATAATTCCAAAATACAAATAAAATAAAATTAAGTAATAAACAATTAAATTCTTAACTTCTCAAGATCGAAAAAATTAAAATCAAATATAAGCATTGTGAATTTCAATCGATAAATACATTTAGCATTTGTATAAGTGTTTATATTACTACATAATCAATTATTTTAAATATTTTAATTTAACATTTTTAAACAGCCAGCTAATTTATTCATGGACAAACAAAAAACTAGCTTAGAAAGTTAAGATTTACAAAATCAATATAGTCTCGAGCAGAACACAAAATTTTAGGTTTCCAAACTCGTACTTGGAAAGAATTAATGAGTTGGATTGTGTTGACAACAAAAAATGAGTTGCGCTTTATTGATAGCTGTTATTTGGTACGAAATCACAGATGGTATGTTATACTGTTTAGAATTGAGTTATTTATTACTGGTACAACTCTGCCTATTTGGTATCTACCGACGGACTAACAATGCAAGATTGAGAAATACTATAACCACTCAAAGCCCCACGTGACTCACTCGATCTAGAAAAAGGTGATGACAGCATGTGGCATTCCACATGCTATCATCACATGCTAAATTTTAAGAACTCTTACGATAACGATTCTCGAGGTTCATTGAGTGCACCTATAATGTAGTCAACCGGTAAGTAAGTAACATCGACTGAATCAAATAAAGTATTAAGTGTCGCTTAACTACAAAGAAACATCATTTTGTAACCAAGGGACTGAACCCGACTAAACACAGACATAATATGTACTTTGACAAATAACTGCGCAATTATAGATTTTGCACAGCCTGTAGCCATCATTTGATCGAAGTACAACCTTTCACTTTCTTGTGTATGAAAAACTAACACCCCTCGCATACGAAATGGAATTATTACATTGAAAATCATTTTCAACTAAACAAAAGGGTAAGCAAAAGGGCAAAAAGTAATTCCTCATGACTATTCTTGCTTCTACCACAGTACCGAGAACATAACTAATCAATAAGGATTTATCTAGTGCTGAAAACTGACCCGAAACAAAATTTAAGAACATTACACCTGGTGAATAAGCTCAATCAGCGTATCTGGGAAGGTGAACAGAGCAGTCCAGAAGCATCTGCTCCTATCACAGCAAGATCACAAACACTACATAGTTGCCCCTCCTGGCTTGGCACAAAACGAGAAGTACAATATGGGCAAGAGACATCCTTCTGGCCTCGATAGATTGGGACATAAGTTGCACCACAGATTACAAATGGGTTCCGGAAATCATAGTTCAACTCTGTAGCATCAGTCATATTTCTTTCAGCAGCTGCTACCACTTGTCTTGCTGCCTTAGCTTGGTTTTCAAGGGTAGGATTCGTCTCAAGAAGCCTTCTGGCAAAGTTAGCAGCAGTTGCAAGGTTCTTTGCCTTGAAAGAGACAGTCATCGCATTCTGCAAAGCTAACCTCAAGTGGGGTGCCTGAAGGTTGCAGTGAGTGAAATAAGCTGCAAGCTCCTGCTGCCGTGCTGGATTGTCCTTAATTTCCCTCCTTTTCAGCTCCATCTGCAGTCCCAAAACATACTCCTTGACTATGATAATCAGTTCCTTCACATCATCCACTTCCCTCCTTGACTCAACGACAATCAAAGGAATTGTGTGAAGAATATTAACAAATGTCCGAAGAGCCTCAGTGAATTTCCCGGCAGTAGTTAACCTATAACCAGCTCTAAGCTTTTCATCCAATTGAGACAATTTGAAAGGAAGTGCAGGTGGGCCCCTTACATTTGCACTAGATGACTCAGTCCAACCTCTTTCAACTGCAAGTGATATGACTGGAGCAGAAGAAAATGCGCGCAGATAGGAATGACTGCCAGTATGAAGATCAAGAAACAGGGATCTTAATGGGGCAAAGTTTCTTATACCGAGTTGCCGGTTCAGTAACCTCATTGCAGTATCAAAATTTCCAGCAGCTGCATGATCTGCTGCAAGAGATGATTTCTGAATCCATATATGGCTTACTGGCATGCCAGGAGTTGGGGTCACAAAAACTGAAGATTGTGCACTGACAGAAGCTTTTGGGGTGTCAGCTTCAGGGCCTAGCCCTAAATCCTCCATTTCCCATCCACCCTCTTCATCATTTTCTTCAGCCACTTCTCCATCCTCCAAAATTGCAGTAACATCTCCATTTTGTAAGCCATCTACATCAACCATGTCAAGCTCCTCACCCCAATCCCCATCAGCAGCCTCATACTCTTCTTCATCAGCAACTCCCCGACCTGTATTGTCGAGCACACCATCAAACATGCCTCGCATGACCCTGAGAAGAGGCCAATCACTTCCACACATGACAGGTGATGGAGGCATCATGAGAGATGGTACTTTTCCAGCAGGCAAAGAAGGAACATTATCTCCCAGTTCAGCTGCAAGCCGCTCTGCAACATCATGTAGCCCATGGACTGATGCCGTTATGTAAGCAAGAGGCAAATGGCCCACATTCTCTAAGATCTTAACACGTTCTTGTACATCACCAATATACAAGGCATTGTGAAACTGTCCCATCACATCATTCTTCACTTCAGCAATTTTTAACATCTTTGATAGTTTCTCCAAGTTACCAGTGACAAGATAAAGGAAAGACAATCTCTCAAAATTTTTTGTCCTCTGGTATGCATACTCGACTATACCAGCATTGCCTTGGCGAAGAGCCTCAACCCCCAAACGATACCAGTGATCTTTCTCATCAATCGCTGTAGCTGATGCAACTGCAATTTGAATGTTCCCACTCTCTAAAGCCAAATTGAACCGAATTTTCTCATCTTTCACAAAATGCAGGGCAACCTCAGGAAAGCCCTTCTGCTGTAGATAAGCAATCATAGCC